TCGTCGTCGCCGTCGCCGTCGCCGTCGGAACGTATTCGACGACGTGCCTGATGTCGAATTATTTGCCAACGAATGGCTGCATTTGGCAGAGAAAGCAGCTTGACAACTTGTTAAATTCTTTTAGTACACGGAGAAAAATGGATAGTCTCGTGTATGGCATAAGAAATAAAGGTATAAGGTATACATTCCGTGGATGAGCAGGAGAGTGAATTAGAGACCAAATTTGATTGGCCGTTCCAGTATTATACGCATGAATTGAGTACAATTCGGCTCAAATTTGATTGATCGTTTAGTACCGCTGTTCGCCATTATGCGCAGTGTTACGCTTTAAATTTCGAAAGAGTTGAAATACCGCCACTATTGAAAAAGAGTGAAAAATTTGTTTCCTTGAATAAGAGTGACAGATTTTCATTCCTTTTTTGAAGTGAAATTCATAAAAAAAAAAAAAGTGAGATTTCTTTCCTATGGAATTAATCTCACTTCAAAAGTGAAAATCTGCCATTCTTATTCAAGAGTGCAAATTTTGCACTCTCTTTCCTTAGTGGCAGTATTTTAACTCTTTTGGAGTGAGATTTTACTCCAAGAAAGTTAGAGAGTACACTTTTCTTTTTACATCCTGAATAGTCTTATAAAAATTCACCCTGACAAGTCTAGTAGAAATGTCAAAATTGTAGGGTAAAAAGTACATTACAATTATAGTAAAATCCATTCAAATGGTTATTACTTACAGTAAACGAAATCGTACTATTCTCAAGAACTGTAAACACGAACAACTCTCAAGACTTTATGCACTTTATTTCTTACCGTACAATAAAGTAAATTTTGTCAGCACTAAGAGAAAAAATACTCGTCAATAAAGTAAGTTTTATTTAGATGTATGGTAATTTATAGATTAAGAAGTCACCAATTGCGGTAGTATAACATTTACTTTACGAAATATACTAGAAAAGCAAAGTAAATTTTACACAAGTAGATGCCTGTCTCTATATGAAAATATGCCAATTCAATAAAATTCAATTTACCAGAATTCTAGCGAATATTACTTAACATTTTTCTCCGTATATGATTGGTCTTGTCCTTAACTCCTCCACTGGATCTAAATATATAAACCAGTCAAGAGGATTTATTGACGGAAAACCACGGAATAATTTCCTTTTTACAAATATTTTTAGCAAAATGTTATATCTATTTTTAATATTTCTGAAATGTTTAACAAACTTCGACATTTGAAAAATATTTTTTAATTTAAGAGACTCCCAGAGAGATATATGAAAAAAACATAAATTCCATAGATTTCGTATAATTTTTCTTCCATGTTGGTAATTTTAAATAAAAAAAAATGTTTTATATGAATTACATATTTAAACGATACTTTTTCAGAATAATAATGTAAATAATAATTTAATATTTGATCTCTTCATATATTCAACGTTAAAAAAGAATCTTGTTTATGATACGCCAATGGCATTCGGGCAAATTTCTGGATTCATCAATGAAAAAAATGTTACAACAGTTGCAAAGCTGTTTTTTACCGAACGCAGCCAATCTCGGGAATGAATCAGGGTACTCGGAAAGCCGACAAAGCGCACGATGCTACGTAGTTTACGTACCCGAAGCGATATATTTGCAGAACGGGTTTTACTTGATTTTTTTTTTTTTTTTTTTTTTTTAGATTCGAAAATACCCTAAAGCACAAAAATGTCGAAAAACTGTACAGAACAACGTACAGAACGAAATCGTTGAGAGATGTAGACCCGATGAAAATATTCATGCCGCGAGGGACGGCTGGAACTTCGTTTGCTTGAACGGCGTGGCGTTTCGATCATCGTCACTCTTCCCTTTTTTTTTTTTTTACGCGAAACAAGGAGTTTCGAAAAAAGAAAAAAAAAAAAGAAAAATTGACGTGCGCCGTAGACGCAAATAAAAATGGAAAGGAAAAAAAGGATATTATCCACGGCAGGCGAGAAGGGAATTTCTTTGCTCGGGACGGTAGAAAATCTCGAGTGCCGCCCCTGTTTGCGACTCCCGCGCGATATTATCGAACGAAATTTCCATGTCGCCATCGCGGTCCGATTAGTCCATCAAAGCGAGAGATGACCGCGGCTGCCCTTCGAACGCTTACGCAGAAAGAAATATAACGGCGGAGGCGCGACGAATCTCGCGGCTGCGATTTCCGCCCTTCGAAGATGTATTGTTCCGATCCCCTCTGGCGAACTCCGTGCCAGAGTTCGTCGTGTTGACGGCGTGTCAACAGCGAGACGTTGAACATCTTCGCACGTCAATTGTCGTCGAAGTTACGCGTTACATTTGACAGTATTAGGAATTGACGCCATGAGACGCCATCGACGTCGCACGGCGGTGGAAAATACGCGCAGGCGTGACAAATTTATGTATACAGGAGAGACCGGAATAACATGCAATCCGCAAGCAGTGATGTTTCAATCGCGCGCGCGGTTGACAACTGATTTATTTCACGGCTAGGAGATTTATAAATTATTTCAAGAATAATGTTACTCCGCAGGGAAAACTATTCTCATCGTCGTATCATATTTCGAAATGCTTTCGTCTCTGAAGGTTGCACAACTCGTTAGTTTTAGATATATCAAAATTATTCACAGCAAGGACGGCAAAGGTGACAAAGATTAATAAGTAAGCTGTCGTCCCAATTTTAATACCTGCGTACCTGTCTCTACATCGATCCGACTAATTTCGCGAAGATTGGATTTCGCGTCTTATTTCAGACCTGTAGACTGTCGGGAAAACAGCCGGCGGATAATCGACAGCTATCGGAAGAGAAGCTCGCGGCGATGTCGTCGTTATCAATGATTTAACCGCGTTTAAACCGTATTGGCGAACGTCGGTGAATCGTCAGCATCGCATGATCGGCGGATGTATTCCCTCGTTATGTCATTATCGTCATCGTTGGGAGTCTAAATCGGTTTGTAGCAGCATGAACGAGCCAGCCGTATCGTCCTGAGCCATACAGAGTGTTTGCGTACCATTCCGCCCTACATGAACCAGGACAAGACGTCGGACACGTAGTGC